CCCCTTCCCCCCCCCCCCAATACTCCCAAACAATTAACTCAGAAACAGCAAGGTGGAAGAGATGTGTGAGGCAAGGTATGGGGGAAGGGGGCATGGAGTTTCCACGCTCAGTGCACCATTCTCCCTGAGTCGTCTTGTCACCAGCCCGGAAGCTCTCCAAACCCTGTCCTGGGTTTTTATGGAGGCTTTATTACATAAGCATAATTAATTAAATTGTTGGCCATTAGCTCCAGACCCTCGGCCCTCTGTGGAGGGGAAGGCACTGGGACTGAAAGTTCCAGTCCTCTAATCACATGGTTGGTTCCCCTGGCACCCAGCCCCCATCCTTAGGTGTTTTCCACAAGTCACTTCATTGAGGTAAACTCAAGGGTTTGTTATGACTTAGGAAATTCCAAGTGTTTTAGGATCTGTGTGTCAGAAATGGAACAAAGACTGAATAAATATTTATTATGAATCACAGTATCACACTATCCCCAAGACAAGGCTAGGTCTGTTATGCTTTGTAGAACGCATCACAGTTGGGATAATGGTGTGTTGTGTGATTTACTCTAACAGTACTCTGCTGCCCAGTTGAAGGCAGAGATAAAAATAGTGGGTGGCTAATGGAAGAATGGAGGGATGAGGGAGGTCTGCTGTTTGCAAGAGAGTGAGCCTAATAAGTGTTCTCTAGAGAAATAGAAACAATAGAACGTGTGTGTGTGTGTGTACATGTACACACACACGTATATATATAGAGATTGATTTTAAGAAATTGGCTCACACAATCGTGGTGGCTGGCTAGTCTGAAATCTGTAGGGCACGCCAGCAGGTTGGAAATTGGCAGGGTTTCTCTGTTGCAATTTTGAGAATTCTGTCTTCTTCAGGAAACCTCCGTCTTTGTTCTTAAGGCCTTTAACTGACTGGATGAGGCCACCCACATTATGAAGGATAATCTGCTTTACTCAGTCTAATTTAAATGTTAATCACATCCAAAAAGTACCTTTGCAACATTTAGACTGGTGTTTGAACAAACAACTGGGCACCATAAACTAGCCAAGTTGACACATAAAACTAACCATCACGTCTAACATACCCATTAGTATGTCAGTAGTGAAGCAAATTCAACAGCTGAAGAAGAGTTCAAGGGCCCATGTGGGTCTCCTTTGTACAGTTAGTTTCCACTTTGTCCCAGTGCAGGGAGTTCAGTGTTATGATAAATCCTATGAGTACTTTCCAAAAGGTTAAAAGCATTGGCTCCTGCCATCCAACTTCTCAGCTACTAAAAGAATTTCTGCACACACAAACATAAATTTACACTGCATACTGCATGCAGCTTTTTCTGAGGCCTGGATTTTCATTTTGACCTCTTTAAGAAACATGACAATTTTCCTTAGAGTTGACTAGGCTCTACAGGCATACCTCACTTTATTGTGTTTCGTTTTATTGCACCTCACAGGTGTTCTGTTTTTTGCAAATTGAAGGCAAGACCCTCCACCAGCAAAAAAGATTGTGTATGATTTGCTTTATTGTGGTGGTCTGAAACCGAACCTGCAATATCTCTGAGTTACGCCTGTATTTAAAATACAAAGAAAAAAGGTATTGGAGAGTCAAGTGATGCTCTAGGGCAAGATTTTCAGAGGCAATAACATGAAAATGATTGAACGGTTTAAGCCTATCTGTTAAAGCAGACTGCTAAATTCCAGGGCAGGAGAAAGAGAGGTCTCTTTCAGTAAGAAATAGTATAATTATTTAAAACATACAGGTTAAAACAGAAAAAATATTTAAATGTGGATGGAAAGGACTGGAAAGGCCAGCGACCTCTCTTTGTTTTCTAATTTCTAAAATATATACATGTATTATATTTTTTATATACATGATTTTTTTTTTAAAGGTGGGACCCTGGTATCTGCATTTTTAAATAGAAAATTTTTGCAGAGTAATTTTAGGTTCACAGCAAAATTGAGTGGAAGGTACTGAGTTTCCATGTACCCTGTGCCCCCTCATATGAAGTGCTTTCCCCATTATCAACATCACCTGTAGTGGTTCATCGTTGGAACCTACAGGATACATCACTATCACCCAAAGTCTATAGTTTACATTAGGGTTCACTGTTGGTGTTGTAGAATCTATGGGTTTGGACAAATGTATAACGACACGTATCCACCATTATCGTATCATACAAAGTACAGTTGACCCTTGAACACCAGGTTTAGGGGAGCCAACCCGCCATACAATCTTCATCAAAAATCTGCATTAACTTTGGATTCCCCCAAAACTTTAATAGCCTACTGTTGACCAGATGCCTTACCGATAGTCGATTAACACATTTTGTATGTTATATGTACTATATACTGTATTCTTGTAATAAAGCAAGCTGGAGAGAAAAAATTGAGAAAATACTTTTATTTATTGGAGGGCAAACTGAGTGAGTAGACCTGTGCAGTTCAAATTCATGTTGCTCAAGGGTCAACTGTAGTTTCACTGTCCTAAAAATTCTGTGCTCTGACTATTGATCCCTCTCTCTCCCCGGCTCCTGACAATCACTGGTCTTTTTATTGTTTCCATAGTTTTGCCTTTTCAAGCATATCATATAGTTGGAATCACACAGTATATAGCCTTCTCAGATTGGCTTCTTTCACTCAGTAATGTACATTTATTTGATTAAAAAAAACACACAAAAAACACAAACTCCCCCAACACATACATTTTAGAAATGTAAGCTTCTTCTGGGACACTCTTCCCACTCCCATTAGTGTTCCATAGAAACTGCCACTAACATAGTGCTTACTTAGCATTGCATTTCTAATTATTTGTCCCTCCTACTCAGCTGGCAGTTTCCAATTCCTAAGAGATAGCCTATTAATTGAAAGGCCTGAATCAGAGAAATAAGATCTGACTAGCTCGTGCCAGGTGTGAAACCTGGATGTGACATGACTGTCTCTATTCACCATAATGCATTAAAAGTGACTTTTTTTTTTCCCAGTCCTCACCCAATGATATGCTTTTATTGATTTTAGAGAGAGAGGAAGGGGAGAGAGAAAGAAACATCAGGGGGAGAGAGAAACATCAATCGGTTGGTTGCTTCCTGCAGGTGGTGCCCTGACCGAGGATCAAACCCACAACTGTTTTTGTGAACAGGACGATGCTTCAGTAAGCTGAGCCACCGGGCCAGGGCTGAAAGTCACTATTTTTTTAAAAAAGCACACACACACATTTAAATGTACTTAATTACATATATTTTTCACCAACACATAACAATGAAGTCACAAAAAAGTAGGCTTAGTTCAGTTCACAATATAGATCCTGTGAAAAAACATTTTTCATCTCTGAAGTTTACAATACTCATATAAATTTAAAGTAGTTAAACATTTCAGGTTAAATTGGTAAAAAATTGTAATTCAGACTTCAGAAACTTGTGAAATAAAAGGCCATGATGGAGAAACATTAAGAAATTTGAACAATTACTGAACTGTCACAGTACCATATTCCATCATAAAAGCATTTCAATAAAACAAAAACCAGAAAAACAAAAACTATGGAAACACACAAATCAAATGAGAGATTTTGGTTTAGTACTTTCCCTGAGTCTCTTGTTTTTAAAAATCAAATGTAAGTAAGGCTGTTCAAAACTGACCCCTAAATCTTGCCTCCTTCACACCACTAGGAAAAATACATTTACGACAAGAGGCCATACACTCAAATGGTCCCAGGGCTTTATTTAAATGCAGTTTGCTTGTTTCACTGCCACAGGGTTACTGGCCCACTGCTGCCTGGATGTACTTGGGCTTAAAGAGCTGTCAGGATTTTTTCTTGGCCTATCATAACATGTGAAACTACCATGTGTAGACAAAAGATTTCAGTTACTAATAAATATTAAATTTCCAAATGGATTTGGAAACTATATACATTGAATTATGGTAACAATAACACAGAAACAAAACACTTTTATGTTTTAAAAATCTTACAAAAAACAGGAATTGGGGGCAAGTTGTCTTAAAATTTTAAATCTCATGTTACAAGAAGAAGAAAAAAATCAAACTCATTAATCCCAATAAAACTAAGTAGAAAAAAGTGGTAAGCTGAATTGGATAGATATTCTAATTCCAAAACAGTAGTTGTCTCCTTGATCCTTAAATAAAACTGGTCCCTACAGTTTTTCTACTTGATCATTTAATTGCAATGATATGTATGTGTACATACATATAGGTGTATATATACTTGCAAGTGATCAAGTAAGAATTAAAGGTTTATTAGAATCTAAAAATTTATTTTTTACTTCAAATGTACTAGTTACTTGCTAGGCTTTATACTATATCAAGACACTAAGTAGTATGGATCACACTTTCCAGTCAAATGCAGGAAAACTTTTTCCACAGACATATTTTTACAATCCTTAGGGCATCTCAAAGGCAGGTGGCAAAGCACTGCTAAACTTCATATCTCCCTTCATCAGAATGAAATCTCAATTGCAGACTAATAGCCAACATTTCAAAAAATAAAAATCACGCACTATCTTAAAATACAGGTGTGAAATGATGGCTCTAACCACCAAGAATATGACACATTCACATTCCGATTAATTATTTAATTCAGTAATGTAAGTATCCTATTGCACGGGTGGGGAAAAGTGAGGCACAAAAATGCATTAAAAAAAAGATTTGTCTCAAGTTAGACCAGGAAGCCAACGCCATAACTACAATCAGAACTCTAGTCTTGACACCTTTGGGGTATAACAGATTCAAAATTCACATGAAATGTTATATTTAACTTGTCCTGTTTGTATCACACCATCCTAGTTTATGTGATTGGAAACTCTGTGACGCATGGATCTGGCAAATGCTGCTTACCACCTGCCTTCTCTGACCTTCTCAGGTGAAAATAGCTAGCTGATGCTTGTATAAAAAAAGAATACCAATGTTGTATTATATGCAACTAGCAAGGTTCAATTATGAAAATATTCCATAATGAATTTTAGTAAATCTCAAGAAACATTCCACAAAATTCTGTAAGAATTTGTGGTAAGTTATAGTACCTGGCAATCCCCTCTAAAACAGAAAATTTACCCATCCTCTACACATTACTGTTGACGATCTCATAATGAATAGCCTCAAAGTGCTAAACTACTAAATAAAACTGAAAGGATTATCCAAGTTCCTAGATAACACAAAATATTTATCTAGGTTAATAAAGAGAGCATAGCACTTTGGTTCCTTTTTCAGGAAAAAAAAATTCCAAAAGCTTCTACATAACCATGTGGCATTTACACTGTACCAGCTGAGTAACACTAAATGGATAAAGTGTAACCACTATAACTTCTTGACCAATTTTATATCTTGAAACGTTGTATCTAAGATACCCCTACCAGCTACCAATCCAGTTCCACAGGGTATTTTCCAGTGAGACAAGCTGTACAATGACCATTCTTTTCAAAGCATCCCAAGCCATTCCCATTTTCTTGAATCATAATATCTTGCTTTTTCACTTTCTGTTTTTTAAATATTGTCCCTTCTTGTACAGATGAAACCAGTCCTTCTACTGACAGGTATACAACACTGTTTGCTCCTACAGGGGGAAGAGGGAAAAGAGAAAGGACATGAGACTTCTTTTGGAAAGAAAGAACTGGCCCTGGCTGGGTAGCTCAAGCGATTAGAGCATTGCCCCGATACACCACGGTTGCCCTTCAACCTCCGGTCAGGGCACATACAAGCATCAATGAATGCATAAGTAAGTGGAACAACAAATCGATGTTTCTCTCTCTCTCTCAAAATCAATTTTTAAAAAAATGGCTGCAGGTCTCATTCCAAAAAAATAAAAAGTTAAAACACACACACACACACACACACACACACAACTTAAGCCAGTATAAAAATTTCTTTTAGCCTCTCTTAAAAAAGGTGTGTGTAGGCAATGAGGTAAATCAAGAAAACTTGAGGCCTTTATTGTATTTTTTTGTATTTTAAGTTGGAATTTAAGAGATAACATCATTTAAAATAGCAGTAGAGGCTTCAAATCTAGAATGGATTCACAAGGCTTCAGGAATAATTTTTATGATTAAGAAAATAGATCTTGAAGTCAAGATCTGGGTTCAAATTTACACTTAAGGTTACTTACTTTTCCTAAGTCTCTTTTCTCATCTCTAAGATAAGGGAAACACCACCTAACTATAGAGTTTTGGTGATAATACAGATGTTATTATGATAATAGAGTTATTACGGTAATACAGAAATGTCCCTAGCAGGCTGAGGGCTCACAGTATGATACCAATTGGGTGACGTTCAAAACATTTACCTGGTAAGGCACAGGCATGAGCAGTCAAAAGAAGCACCAGCCATAAACAAGCATGGATGGAGGAAGGTACCAAGGCACATGGGCGGAACATCTATGTGCTGTTTAAATAGTTTATACCTCACCTGAATTTAAAAGGCAGATGTCTTATCCAGGATAAACTAGATCTCCAAGTCACCTGACCTCAGTATTAAAGATGAGCCTATAGCCCTACATGGTTTGGCTTGGTGGTTAAGAGCGCCAGCCCTCTGACTGCAGGGTCCTGGGTTCAATTCTGGCCAAGGGCATATACCTTGGTTGTAGGCGCCATCCTGAGCCCTGACTGGGGGTGTGTGGGAGGCAACCAATTGATGTGACTCTCTCACATTGATGTGTCTGCCCCCCTCCCCCGGTCCACTCTCTCTAAAAAGCAACGGGAAAAATATACTCAGATCAGGATTTTTAAAAAAAAGAAAAGCCTACCTAAGCTCTTCATTTTATTTGTATCCACATCCAAATGTTTCTACTAGAATCTGTGGTGAAACTGTTTTTATTTCTTCTTGGGATATGACCTTTGGGAGGCTTTAACTAATATGCATGCAGTTTCCTCTACCTGGAAATCCTTTCATCCATTTTCTCTCGTCGCACCTTGATCCAGCCTCCAACACAGCACTGTATGTGGTGTATACAGACACCAGGCACTGTCACCATTCAGAATCCTGTTCAGTATCTCCTCAGCATACTCAACCTCTACTTTTAACCAGTATTTAACACCTTTTTATTAAAAGTGTAAAGATCAATAAGCTTTGGGTTTTCTGTTAATAAATGAATAAATATGAAGTTTATAGAAACTTTAATACCTACCTAGATATTCGGCAAGATGTTCAAATTCTGGTTTATTGGCAATAAGCTCTTCTTTTGTTGGTATGTTTATACCCATGAAACATGGGTATCTAATCGGTGGTGAAGCTACTCGAATGTGTACCTGGGAAAGAGATCATTTCACACATTCATTATTTTGGCATTCACTGTAAAAATAATTACATAAAAATCTTTCACTGACAAACACAACATAAAATTGTCTTATAGAATATTTAATAACAACATATGGGAAATAAAGCAAACTGCAAAATTTCTTTTTTTTTAAATTTGTTTAGTGATTTTTATAGAGAGAGAGAGACATTGCTTTTTGTTGTTCCACTAATTTATGCATTCATTGGTTGACTTGTGCCCTGATCAGAGATGGAACCCGCAACCATGGCACATCGGGATGATGCTCTAACCAACTGAACTACCCAGCCAGGGTTGCGAACTACAAAATTTTTTTCATTGAATATTAGACAAAAAAGAATCCTGGGAAATAATATGGTATACATACAGAACTCCAGGGTTCAACCCAAACTACTTTTAGAGTCCATTCATTAACAAAGAATCCTACTTGAATAGCCCTGCTCTAGATTCCAAAGTGTCCTGGACAAAAACTTCCAAATGTCAGCCACCCATAAAGGAGGATTCCTTTCACAGAGCTGCCCATTGTTTCCTTCTGTCACCTATTAACAGTACGTTTCTTTCTTCTGTTCTATTTCTCATCATTTAATGACCTTATTTTCCTAGGACCACCTCCATTTTTCTCGTAACACTTAAATGGCCCTTTTGCCTACCTTTTAATTTACTTTTTTAAAAAGGAAAAATAACCAAATATCAGGATATAACAAAAACCTTCCTATTCTACAAAGAGCCATTTTTTGTCTTATTATTATTTTCTGCCTTTTGTCAGGTACATATATATGGCTGTAATCAGTGTCCACATTCAATTTTACCAATCTTATAACGGCAAAGATTTTCCCAAGTTATGCAGTGTGCCTTATAGTTTTTAATGGTTGCATCGTATTTCATCATACAGATCAATTTACTAAATTATTTCCTACTGGTAGATATATATGTATAAACCATTCCTACTTTTGTTTTTGTCCATTCTTTTTTACTTCTGTAAGAGATGTTGAATTTACTTTATATCTCTTTTTATTATATAATTTTCAAAAAATTCCAGATTATCATAATCATAATCACAGTCATAAAACAGGATGCAAAATCATAATCTTTGAAGCTTCCTAAATATACCGTGATACTGCTTTCCATACCACTTTCTCCTACAATAGATTTTATTTTTAAATCGGTATCTCACTTCTGTAATATGAATTACTGAAATATTTAGAACTAGAATAAGCTTTGAGATTTAAAAATTTAACCTAGTGTGTCAAATTTATTACACTAGGGTTGGTTCTACATCTTCAAAAAAGGAAAGTAATCAATACTATAAAAATTTAAAAAGTACTGTATTGTGTGGCTTTTGCTAGTTTTAAATTAATTTTTCAAAATTTTAAGCTTTTATATTGAGCTTTTTTAATCTATTACTTTAGAATGTAGTTTAAGGATGGTCATTATATGTTTTCCACATTGCTACAGTTACTCCTAAACACCCTTAATTAGAAAAATGTCAATTTATTACACTGAACTATGCATGTTCATTCGCTGTCCTGAATTGCAATTTTTATGCCAGTATCACACTGTAAATTATTGGTGCTTTTGGATATGGTTTAATATTACTTACCTCTTTTGCACCAGATTCTTTGAGCAATTTGATTATGGGTGAGATAGTATTGCCTCTCACAATCGAATCATCTATAAGAACAATTCTTTTGCCTTTAAAGTTGTCTGACAATACTCCAAATTTTTTTGCAACACCAAGTTGTCTTAGCCTCATGTTTGGCTGAATGAAGGTTCTTCCTACATACCGATTTTTACATAGCACCTCCACATATGGAAGCCCACACTGAGAATAAATAAAAGAATAGTGAGCAGCAATGTACATAAAACTTTAGGTCTGTTTTCTTAGGTCATCCTTTAACATGTACATAAACATTTTAAATGTGGTTGTTATTCTGAACTCCATTATGAGATCACAATTTTCCTTCACTATGTAAGGGAAAAGACAAAAAGAAAAATCACTGCAATTAAAATATACTTCGTGGGAAAACAAATTCATTTTGCTAGAATTTGTAATGCTTCTCTCTTAAATATTATTTCTCTATATTGGAAAAGAACACTAAGCATGTGAAGAAATGTCAAAGAATAAATTACTATCAGAAAAACCAACATATTTAAATGGCTTTATCATCACCCATGCTCAATAAGAAACAAATATATAAGTGGCTTGTGAGGGAACTTTAAGAAGTAGGCTTTAATAATAAGTAAATATTACCACTAATGTCTATATGTATTCATGATGTTATCTTTTTAAAATGAAAATCATTCTCATAGTCTTCAGGTGAACCTTTTTGTGGACTCCACTAAAATAGTACCATGGAATGAAAAGGCTGGAAAATAAGTAACGTGTGAAGGAACCAACATTTTCTTTTTACTTACAATAAACTAATGAGTTTCTCTTTTTATTTTATTATTTTAAAATGTTTTTATTGATTTTAGAGAGAGAGGGAGAGGGAGAGATAAAACATCTATGAGAGAAATATCATTGATTAGCTGCCTCCTGCATGCCCCCTAGTGGGGATTGAGCCTGCAAGCAGCGCAAGTGCCCTGAGAATTGAACGGGTGACCTCTTGGTGCATGGGACGATGTTCACACAACTGAGCCACACCAGCTGGGCAATAAGTTTCTCTTTATATGCAAGGATTTCTAATTCTACTGCTAGAACAACTCACTGAGTATTAACTAAGAGAAAATACCTTTCCAGCGTAACCAAGAGCAGCAGGCGTAGCAGATTCTGGAACAGTGCTAACCAAATCTGCATCCACAGGTGCTTCAATTGCCAGCTGCTGACCACACCGGTATCTTACTGTGTAAACCATTTGGTCTGGAATGTTTGAAAAAAGAAATAGATTATTTTTAAGTAGCATAATATAACAGAGCATAATATCACTATTCTAAGAAACTAGCTTGTTAGAACTCTACAGATTTGGTATAAAAAGAAAACCACACATACAAAACCACTAAAATGGAAATACATAAACTGGGGAATTCATTATTTTTTAAAAAGTGACCTTCATGCATATCTATCTGAAAATGATAATCCTTACTCCTAAAAGGAGTCAGATGAAAGGAAAAAATTGTGATCTTACGACTTGTAGGCTCTGTGTCATATCCACAATGTACAACTATGTGCCTTCAAAGAGCCAAGTACGTGTATGCCTTTGTGCAATGAGATAAATACCACATTTATACTGATAAAGATATTTTACTTACCCTCAAATATACTATCTGGTCTAGCAAAATAAACATATTCAAAGATACAAAAAGCCATTGGGTTTCCTTCAGACCTTGGTATAATATCAAGAGTTTGAACATTGTGTCTGGATATTTCCACAATTTCTCCAGGCAAGACTTCACGGTAATATCTTAGAAAACAATGTTAAAGAAAGACTTTAAATAAACTAGTCCTTAAAGCTGATAATATCTATTATACAGTACACACAGAGTCCCTTCTCTAATAAAGAAAAAATGGTTCAATTTAATATAAAGTCTAGAAATGGCTTAAAAAATCAACAATATTCCTCTAGCAGTAATTTCTGTAAATCTGTTACCACTAAATTCAAACTTAGAATTAAAAGAGAATTTAAAAGCCCTAAGTTTTATTGATTTTTGAAAGAATAAAGGCTTTATAAAGAGAACATTTTTATCGTGGCTTAAATTTCTTGAGAGTTCTTCCTTTCTGAAATACGTCTCATGGCATTTTGAAAGCAAGATTCTAGTTTCAGAATTAGAAGGTATTATGGGAACATTAAAGTCAGTTAACTGCTGAGCACCATGTACAAAAACCCCTGCATTTATAAATATGTCTTCTAGGACACATCAAAAGAAGTTTCATGTGAAAATTTTATTGATGTGGAAAAACGTAATATACTAAGATAAAACTTACCTTGCACCAATAGATAAAAAGCTACAAGATTCTGAAGACACCACCCATCCTTCTGTTTCTAAAGATTTTTTCCCTGTAAATCACAGGACAACCAATTCAGTTAATGCTTTCAAGAAATTTTAGAAGAGGTTACCTATTTCAAGACAATTAAACACCAAATAGATAAATAGAAAATCCATAGAATGTCCATTTCTAAGACTTGAAGAGCACATGGATCTTCATTTGACTTGAGCCAAATACAAAAATGAATGATCCCAGGCCCTGGCCAGGTGGCTCAGTTGGTTAGAGCATCATCCCTCATACCAAAAGGCTGCAGGTTCAATTAATTCCCAGTCAGGGCACATAATCTCCAGATTCCTTCAAACACTGCAATTTCATGGCCCAAACAAGACATCTGATAAGTCAGAAATACAGTCAAGTGAAATCATACTACACAAATGAAAAAGCTGTGCAAAGGATACGAATAGACAATTCAGACAGGAAAAAATAATATATTTAAGGAATGTCCCTTAAATATATTAAAAGTGGCTCATCCTCAGAAATACTCAAGGAAATGCACTTTAAAAATAAGTATGTTTTTCACCTAGCCACTTCTTACTCATAAGCTTCCTATATACCTAAGGATTTCAGGGTGTGCCAACAGAACAATGACTTGGAAATACATTATGAAATTATATCTGAAGTTCATTACCTTTACTGTTTATATCAGATACAGGAATAAGACGACCAATGCATAGAGGACGATTTCCATAAGGATCTCGTACTGCATAAATAACATCTCTGTGCATTATAAGTAGAGAGTATGCTGTGGGCGCTTCCTTCATTAAGTTTTTAATCCTAAAATTAAATAATTGAATGAATAATTTCATTTATAAACACATGCTAGGCAAAGCTCTCATTATCAGAGCAGTGAGCTTAAATTTACAATTACCTTGCTACCCAGTCTGGGGTGTCATCTTGTTCCTGAGGAGGGGTATATGCCAGTAACTGGGTAATCATTTCGCTATCAGAACTTGTTGACAGACCAATACCATGGCGCAGAAGCTATTTAGAAGGCAGAAAAGTATAATCATTAGAAAGGAAGCTCCACTGCACCCCTCAGCCATAGCCCACCATAACAGGAAGAGATAAGGCACTGTGTGGATGATGGGTTATGAAAATCCTCCCTTCTGTTAATGGTATGTGTATGTAACAACAGAGAACAGTTGCTGGACACAGTGGGAAGTCTCTGAAGGTTTTCAAGCAGGAAAAAAAGTGATTTAGGAAGTGTTTAGAAAAGCTTTTGAAAAGCTGAATTTGAAGGAATGTAGAGCTGCAAGGGGGAGGGGAGAGCTGGGAAGGCATAGGATTTGGGAATGTGGTTCTAAATTTCTTAGCCCCTGACACTTCTGACAAATACGACACATTCCCATAAGAGGGGCATAGTATAGCGGGGACTTTCAAGCCAGATTTGCTGGCTCACTGATTTTCACAGATAGAATAGAAGAAAGGGATCAACTATATTGAACAATTATGTGTAGAAGATTTAATAAAAATTGGTTGAGTACACTCTGGATGATTACGAGGTTCTGAGAAAGACTGACCAGGACAAGGGCATCACCACTGTCGTGCAGAGGCTGAGTTTAAACAAAGACAATACATGCCCAGCCGGGTGTGGCTCAGTGGTTGAGCATCGACCTAGGATCCAGGAGACAGTGGTTCAATTCCTAGTCAGGGCACATGCCTGGGTTTCGGGCTCATCCCCAGTAGGGGGCGTGCAGGAGGCAGCTGATCAATGACTCTCATCATTGATGTTTCTATCTCTCTTCCTCTCCCTTCCTCTCTCTGAAATCAATAAAGATATATTTTTTAAAATAAAAAAGACAATACAGAACATTTTCGGTAGGCAGCTGAATGTGCAGAGATGAAGTCCAGCATCTGGGTTAAGGGGTTATGTCTAGTAATAATGATGTAGGTATTGAATTCAACTTTTAGTGGTTATCTCTAAGTGGTGAGTTTTTTTTTAATTAATTTTATTTCATATTTATACTTTTCTGATTATCTGAATTTAAATTATTTTTTAAAATTCAGGGACAGAAAAGCATACATATTATTATTGTTATATTGAATGCCAGAGCTAAGAACAGAGCAGGAAGGACAAAGGTCTGGGGAATAACTTAAGCTAGAACCGAAAATAGAAGGAAGAGTGGTACAGAAACTTGGGTTCTAAATATTTTCCACCTGCCAGTTCACTATCATTCTATTTCTATAACTATTTATCCCATATGAAATGCCTGGTTCTAGAATGCTAAGGAGATAATGGAGTGTGTGAGAGAGTGTGTGTGTGTAAACTATTATTAATTACCACCTAAGGTTTTTCTTTCTGAGGTTACCAAATCAAGATTATTGGAATCTAAAGAAACCTGGCATTAATTAATGAATGGCAAGAATAGATGAAGAAGAAGCTACCAGAAATATAAAAATACCAGGTACTTACACAAAAGGGTGGAGGGATGATGGATGAAGGGATAGCCACAATTAAAACAGCTCCAAAAACCACAATATAAACAAAATAGAATATAACTCGTTGCCCTTTTCTCAGGCTGTTTCCTTAACTGTTTCCAAATCACTTTTTCTTACATTTATCATCTGCAAATTTATATTCCATTTTCTTCTTTTAACATAGGGACAAAGCTAAAGTGATAGCAAGAGTCCATAAACCCTAATTTGTGCTGCTGATAGCAACCATAAATCAAATTTTCCAAGTCTCTAAAGCACTGCATCAGAATCACCTAAGGAGCTTATTAAATGCAGGCTCAGCACCCCCACCACAGACTCTGGGTTGATATCTTGGAATCTGTAATTATAACAACTACTCCAGGTAATTATAGGTGTTCTTTGCAGTTAGGTAACAGGTGGCAACAATTAGGACCTTTACCAAGATCCTCAATAACTTCTTTTCATTAATTTATCCCAACCATGAAAAAGCATTTAAAGAGAAAAACCACTTACCTTTTTCCTTAATCGAGCAGCATTGACCAATTCGCCATTATGTGCCACAGCTATTTTCCCATGAAGTGTTTCAACAACAAAGGGCTGACAGTTTTCTAATTCACAGTTTCCTGTAGTGGCGTACCTTGTGTGTCCAATTCCAAGATTTGAAGTATATAATTTCTTCAAATTGTCTTCAGTAAAGACATGATTTATAAGACCCATTCCCTTGCAAAGTCAAAGTAAAAGCTCATCTTAGAAAAAAAGAGACTAGTGGGCTAGTGAGTAGAGGCTTTAATAAGCTGCTGTTCAGGCACTCCCAAATTAAACAATGCAGTTCACTTAATTTATCTGTGCTTCAGAAGTCTAATCTTAAAAAAGAAAAATAACCTAATAAGAAGTGTAAAGCATTAAAAAAAATTTAGGTGAAATTCACATAATAAACTAACCATAACCATTCAGTGACATTTAATACCTTCACAATGTTGAAATGCTTGTTTTATGAGATACTTTTTGTTAAAACATTGAAGGACAGGTGTATTAAGCAATAAAATTTGTCAACTATAATAAACTAAATTATTTCCATTTAAAAAATTAAAAGCAGCCCAGCTGGGTGTGGCTCAGCCATTGAGTATCAACCTAGGATCCAGGAGATCACGGTTCGATTCCTGATTAGGGGCGTGCAGGAAGCAGCCGATCAATGATGACTCACTCATCATCGTTGTTTCTCTCTCTCCCTTTCCCTTCCTCTCTAAAATCAGTAAAGATATATAATTTTTAAAAAAATAATTTAAAAAAAAATTCAAAGCATGTTGAAGTATTTAAATACATGACCTGTTTCTGTCAGTCTAGCAAACTATCACTGGGAAAAAAATGCACCCTAATTTGACAAATAGAAATGGGTGATATAAAGAGTAACTTCTATGTACAAATTATTCACATTTCCTTCTCCCACCCCCCATACACTAGTTAACATCTAGCTACTATTATCTTTATAATCAACTTTTTTAATGTTTAAATATACCTTGTGTATTCTGTATGTTGGTACTGAATCCCCATCACTGGTGACAATACCAGCACTCTCCTGACCCCTGTGAATATAAAAAAGTATCAACTTCAATTTACCCCATTGATAAGGTTAATAAACTATGAAACATCCTTTTCATAAAAGAATTGATGAATTCAGTCTGACAGCACATTAAATGCTACTAGTACTAGTCACTTCTATTCATGACAATGATTAGCAGTAAGAGATGAATGATATTGTCTGACTTCTAACTAACATGCCAGGCACTGTCCTGAACATTTACATGAATGATCTAACTTATTAGGCTTTCACAGCCATCCTATGAAGTAGGTACCATGATTACCATTACCATTTCATAGGTGAGGACACTAAAGAAAAGGAAGTTAAATAACTTGCCCAATGCCACACACAGAGTGGAAGCACAGCCAGGATTAGAACACAGACAATCTGACTCCAGAACTTGTGCTTCTAACCTCTGTCCTGTGGGACCTCTAACTAAGGTGAGTGTGTAGATGAGTATATAGATATAAATGAAAATCTCCAAATAACATAGTAGGTAAAATGCTTAGTTGTGGTACTGGAATTATAAGCAAAATTAATTAATTTTGATTTTGCTTTCCTGCACTTCCCAAACTTTCTCCAGCAAATAACACTTTTGTTATCAGAAAAAAATGTTGCTTTTAAAATCCTATGCTGATCAGGCAATCTGTATCTCATTTCCTGTGTTAGTATTTTTAGGTGATGATACATAAAAGCCAAAAGCTGGTCTGGAGGTAGCACATAGCAAGGCTTAGAGGATCTGCACCACTGTGGAGTACAAACTCAAAATGAAAAAATAAAGCTCCATTGCTCAACACTTTTTAATAATTCTCAGCAAGAGATATAAATACTAGATGTTTATTAACAAAATTTTATTCCAAAGAATATATATCAACATAGAAATACAAAGTAAATCTCTACTATATCTCTATGCATACATTAATACATTGATCTATTTAGTAAAAAGAATCTTTTTCAAAATTACATATTAGGCATTTTTTAAAAATATGTTTTTATTGATTTTTAGAGAGAGAAAAGGAGAGGGAGAAGGGAGGGAGAGATAGAAACATCAATGATAGGGGAGCATGGATTGGCTGCCTCCTGCACAAGCCCTACTGGGAATTGAGCCCGAAACCCTGGCATGTGCCCTGACAGGGAATGGAACCAGCAACCTCCGGTACATGGCTCGACACTCAACCACTAAGCCACACCAGCCGGGCAGTTTAGGCATTTTAAATAACAAGAAAAACTACAACATTAAATGTCTTGCAGCCCAGCCGGGCGTGGCTCGGCAGTTGAGCATTGACCTAGGATCCAGGTGATCCGGGTTCAATTCCTGGTCAGGGCACATGCCCGGGTTGTGGGCTTAAGGCAGCCGATCAATGACTCTCTCATCATTGATGTTTCTATCTCTCCCTCTCCTTTCCTCTCTCTGAAATCAATAAAGATATATTTAAAAAATAAATGTCTTGCAAAGTAAAAAAATAAAGTAAAATGGAAATTACTTTATTAAACTATCAATGCATTAAATACTATGCTGAAAATAGATATGCATCATATAATATACCCTAACAGAGTGAATAATCTGTGACTTAGGATTTCTTTATTTAGTGGTCTTTAAGTTGATGCTAGAAGACCAAGAGATTCACATCAGAAGAAAAATAACGTTAGCCATAAACCTTAAGGCAGAAAGAACCTCTGCCAACCATTTCCAGATCAATTTTTTAAAAATCAATAATCATTTAGTAAAACAGATTAAATTGTGTGAGTTGTTAAACAAAATGGTATTTAAAAAATAAAAAATGGACCCAGCCAGTGTAGCGCACCGGTGGAGTGTTGACCCCTGAACCAGGAGGTTTCTTCTTTTTTGCTTGACTTTTAATGAGAAACTAATGAAAATTACTGGTCAAGGAACGTGGCTGGGTTTCGGGCTCAATCCCCAGCACAGGGCTTGCAGGAGGCAGTGGATCGATGATTCTCTCTTATCATTGATGTTTTTAACTCTCTCCCTCTCCCTCTCTCTGAAATCAATAAAAAACATTTTTTTAAAAAACAGTTTTTCTTTTGTCTCAAGGATAATTTTTCCTTAAAAGCTGAAATGAATACCGTTTAGAATCATTTAAATCCTGGCTTCTTTTATCACAAAGCCTGCTTATGGCAGTTTCTCAAGTTACTCCCCTCAGGCAGCTTGAACCAGTTAAACTAGATGGGTTGACTCTTTGAGCTTATTGAAAATGAGCTATCTGGTTTCCCATGAAACAAAGCCAGGGCTAGAAACAGTGAATCATTTCCAGGTCACTTTTAACATGGAGGGTGGAGCAGGAAAGCACTGGACTGAGGAAGGGGTTAAAGTTTTGCTAAGTGTCTGGGCAGAAAAAAATATACGAAAACAACCTGATGGACTACAGAAATAAAGGAATATTTATTTACATTGCTAAAAGGCTGCAAGCACTAGGAGTATACAGAGATTGGCAACAGTGCCGGGTACAGGACAAAAATCTCACACACGAGTACAGAACAGTTACATATGCTCTCAGCTCTGGAGACAGCTCTAAAACTATGGAATTCTTCCATGATTTAAATGGAATCCTGCAGTGTGGACCTGCCATTCAGTTAAAAGGGAGATGCGAATGGCAGATGCCTGGCAACGATAAGCCAAAGTCCAGCCCCAGAAACGACTGAAGGTACAGGACGTGGAGGAAGAGGGCGTGCACGCTACGCCCCACAGGCTCAGCAGGCCTGCACGGTGGCCGAAACGCAGAGACCTCAACAGCCACAAAGGATGGTCTGAAATGGAAACCTTTTAACGAAAACAGTTTATGGTATGTAGTCATGTCCTACGCTGGTATCTTCCCTGGCAAAGGTAAATTTTTACCTTAACTAAGTCTGTTGATTGTCTTTTTGCATCTACAATAATACATCATTGGAATGTCAAAGTAATTTTCCTTTTTTTGGCCCATCAAAGCACAGGCAACGCTCTGCAGAGACCACAAATCCCCTCATTGTTATTAATTGTTCACTGTTAACTATCCTGCACCCACCTAAGTAAAAGAAGTGTGTCCATCATTTTACTTTTTATCCAACCCCAGAGGTTCCTGTGCTTTGCTTTCTCTGCCTCCCTAATCTATCACCAAGGTGACCCACATCCATCTCCTCGTTTGTAATGTATAAAACAAAGCGCAAAACTGCCATTCTCTGGAGCTTTATCTCAATCTGTTGAGGTTTTGGCTTCCCTGCGATTGTCCACAGTTTGGCTCAAACTCACAAAAATTCTTCACAGGTCTGAATGATTTCTTATGTTAACAAGGAAAAGTACTGATGGGCACTTATAATTTCCAAAGATTGAGCACCTGAATTAATCTGAAATATAATTATATTACTTATAAAATTGTAGAACACATATCCTTATGTAAGCAGGGATTTAAGGTTTTTTCCTTAGGCTTCTTTCTCCTAGGCCTTTGCACCCTGCACTCCCCTTGATCCCTGACTGAAGCAATTAAGGAGGTGGTCCAGCTGTGAATGGGTTAAGATATCACCTTATCAAGACGAAGATGCATGTCCTGCATGTCTGAGACCAAGATGCAAGGCTGGGCTGACCTAACAATAAGTCAAGTTATCACCTTATCAAGACATCGCCAGGCGACCAAGATCAGAAGATTGACTTCCAGGACTGCACGTAGCTGCATTCCATTCCCAGCCTCAGTTTGCCCCATATAACCCGATCCCTCAGGACACTTCTTAAGACAGGTTTTGGATGCTCGTATGCTCCCTGTCGTCTTGCTCCGTCAATAAATGCCTTATATGATTCACCCCTGCCTCTGTTGAATTGGAAACAGTGACAAGCAGCCCAAACCCCACCGGGGTTTCCCGTATTTTGGGAACTATGCCGGGACCCTCCCCTGAGCCCTAAGGTAAGCCCCTTCGGGGACTGCCAAAGGACTCGGGGTGGTTGCTGGACTTGGGAGACTTCGTGCAAGCACCTGTAGAAACTCCATAGCAGCTGCCAAGTTTTAACTCGGGGACTTTCCTTCAGCGCTTACGAGCTTTCCCAGTCGCCTTCGCTGTTGGTTGAATCGGCGTTCTGTTTACGTGCCTGTTCCAATCTGATCTGTAAATCCCGGGCATTGTAAGCGAGGAGTGGCATATTTAAGGTACCTTCTGTTTCTGTTGTTTGTGGGTGCTGTATAACTTGAAAAGCATGGGAAATGCACTGGCAACCCCACCTGGCAGCCCGCTGGGCCACATTCTGGTTGACTTAACGCTTCTGTGCCCTGTAAGGAGGGGTATCTGTCTGTAGTCCCGTCTGGGGTGAGCTTGGCCAGCTCCTGGTTGCAAGCAGCCTCTCTTGGTCCTTGCCTGGTCTCTGTACCCAAGCCTGATCAGCTTAGGGTCTAGACATAGCCCTGTGTGGTGCAGGGTACTGGGTCTGGTGTTCTGTCTGGCTGTGCACGGTAGGCCACAAGTGGTTGTCTGTTGTATGCTGTCTGTCGTGAGCATTTGTAAATATTATATATTAGGGTAGTTTTTGCCTCGTGTAACCTTGCCTATAATCTTGCTTAAAATTTGTTTAAAGATGGGAGCATATTCCACATTGCCGGAGTCCCCAGCTGAACCCAGGGAGGAGGAGGGGATTACAGGAACTTGCCGCTCTGCTCTCAAGGCATCAGCGGCCTGAAATGCTTAACTAGTTTGAGTTTTGTCTGTCTGTCCGCAATGTGACTTTGGTTGTAGATGTTCTTTGCTTGCTTTTGTCTTTTTAGGGACTTGGTTTGCTCTATGTCGTTTGTGTTCACTGGGAATCCTGTCTGCTGTTTGGGCTTTGCGCCGCAGCTTAGATGAAAGGTCTTCTGCTGTGCTGGGTTAGTGTGAGATAAAGATGCTAACGCTACTGTCCCAGTCCCTCCTTTTGAGAGTACTCATTTACTTCAGGAGTTGTTTTGTTTGTTTTAAAATAGGATACGATCTCTTCTTATGTACAAGATTGTATAGTATTATATTCTACTCAGAAAGAAAAAATATGGGAAA